GATAGAGAATCTTTTCCCGATCATAATGACACCAAAAGTATGAAATTTGATGGAAAACTTAAGGAATTACGCTCTCACAAAGTTAGCGGTCTCACCGATGTTTATGCACCGGCGATTTCGCCAACTTTGAGCCCTATTTTCGGCCAATTTCTGTGTACTAGGCGACAAAAATCATATTTACTTCGCTAAAACTCCATTTTTTCTATTGAATGAGTAAAAAAAAAACACCCATTTACCAATTTCAACTATCCAATAAAGTGGTTAGAAATTGGCAATTTTGCCAGTTTCACACAAATTTCAGAAGATGCCAGTTTCCAAATAGGGTCCAGAATAAACAAGAAAGACATTCCTGGCACTAAAATAACATTTCCTCTGTTCGTTAGTCAAATCCCCAGGCCCCTCTTATATTCCTTTGGCTTTCCACTTTCAATTTTTATTCTTACAAAAAATAGAAAATTTACTGTTATGCAGACTGCTGCATTAGTGTAGAAATGGTATGAATAATATCAGCGCACTTGTGAAAGAATATTAGACTCACCAGTTGACGTGTATTGGACGGTTGGCATGATTTATTTACTTTTGAACTTCGGTGAAAATCGAACATTTCTGCTACTTTGAGCTCAATTTCAAGGTACTTTTCATTGTGAAACCAATCAAAATCATCTCAATTTCTGTAATATATCTTCTATTCTATAAAATGAGACCAGGAAAACTAGACTACAACCATAAATACCATACGAAAATACAGTGCAAAGTTAGCTGTTTTAATCCAAAAACACGGTCAAAGTTTTTTTTTTTTTCTCATTACGCACTGTGTGCTGCAGGATTTTTTTTTATACTGCGCATACTGACCACATAGACCCATTCTTTCATATGTAGGCCTACCAGCTTTCTCTTGCTAGATTTGAAGGCGCTAGAATTTAGGCGTTCTAGTACGTCAATAACCCTGGTGCGTAAGCCGTACTAGTACGTCAAAAACCCTGAAAGGGTGGCGAAGGATTGCAGAAAAACGAGAGAATGGGCAAGCCTTTAACCCTTTGAGGGTTTCAGCCGTACTAGTACGGCTTACGTCCCAGGGTTTTTGACGTTATTCGCCAAAAATTCTGCGCCTTCAAATCTAGTGGGGAAGTGGTAGGCTAAATAAAAAGAAGGGTCTATTGGTCAGTGTGTGCAGTATAAAAAAATCCTGCAGACACAGGGGCAAAAAGAGAAAAAAAAAAAATTTTCGCCGTTTTTTTGGGAAAAAACAGCGATTTTTGCACTGTTTTTCGTTGGTATTTATTGTTGTTTCTATTTTTCGGGTCCATTTTATAAAATGGGGAATATTACAAAATTGGATGATTTTGATTTTTTTAATGAAAAGTACCTGAAATTGAGCAAAATGTAGAGAAATGTCGTTTTTTACCGAATTTAAAAAAGAAAACAAATCATGCCAGGCCAATACCGTAATGGTGACCTAATATTTTTCACAAGGCGCTGTATTATTCAACCATTTCTACACAAATGCACAGTCTGCAAAACGTAAATTTTATTTTTTGTAAGAAAAAAAATTGAAAGTGGAAAGCCAAAGAAATATAAGGGGGGCCGGGGGGATGGACTAACGAACAGGGGAAATGTTATTTTTGCCGGGAATGCTTTTTGTTTATTTTGGCCCCTTTTTGGAAAATTGGGCAAAATTGCTAAATTCGACCACGTTTTGGGATAGTGAAATCAGTAAATGGGGGGTTTTTTACTTCAAAAAAAAAAAAGGGAGTTCAAAGGAAATAGTTATGATTTTTGTCGCTAGTACAGGGAAAATTGGGCCCGAAAATGGGGCTAAAAATTGGGCAAAATCTCCGTGCGTAAACATATCGGGGACCGCTAACTTCGCGAGGGGGCATAATTTCCGTAAGTTTTCCACAAATTTCATATTTTTTTTTATTTGGGGGAAAAGTTTATTTTTCATAAGAAAAATAAAAACCCCCCCCCCCCCCCCCCCCCCCCAACCTGTCGCCCTAAAAGGGTTAAGAAAAATTTTTGGGTGAGAAAAGATACTTTTTTGGAGAGAGAAAAAAGGTGAAGAAATGGAGAGCAAATAATCTGCAGTTAAAAAGAAAAAGGTATTGGGGTCAGAAGGGAATGTGAATAACGAGAGTAGGAAAGAAAAGTGTTGGGGTTTTTAGTGACAAAGGGAAAGGGTGGCATGCATGGACCAGGGGGGGGAACAAACAGGAGGAGGCTGCAAAAGGGTAAAATTAAAAGGGGGATACAGCATTGGGTAGATGAATTAAAGTAGAGATGTTAAAAAGGGGGGTGTTGGAGGGGTTTGTTCGATGTGCAAAAAAAGAAGGTATCAAAGGATTGACAGAGCGCAAAGTCCCAGTACAGGTTGGGCCCAAAATTAATCCGGCTCTTTGGGGCTTTTTGTGGGATTACAGAGTGGTTGGTTCAAATAACTTAATTAACCTTCCTAGAGACTGCTTCTTCTTCCTCATTTTCATCACTGCTTTCTCCTGGTGGATTTAAAACCCAATTGCAAAATTTTCTAAATCTGTATAAATGATGGAATTTGAGTCAGTATAACAATGAAAATTTGAAATTGCTAGCTGAAATTAGTGCTGGATTACTGATAGGAGGATATGTGAAACCCAAAGTATTTACACTGAAGCAATAAGGGCAAGGCATTTTGCTCATCCTAGAGCAGAAAACCAGAAACCAGAAGGATGTTCTTTGCATTGTTTTTGGGCACTACTTGTATTAATGGGAAAAAAAGTAAAATAGCCCCTGGAGCCTTCCCTCTCTGTTTGGGCCCAGCATGGCTTTTTAAATGAGCAGGGTTGTAGTTTTGGAAAAAAGAAAACATGTTTTAAAAATGAAAAGAGCCTAATGCCCTAGTGCTAAGTGAAACAAAGGTAAAAATGGTGAATTGTGGAGAGGGGAAACCCCTGCCACCATCACATAAACTCCCCACTTTCATGGGCCCTGGTCAAGCCCGGGGCCCAGGGGGGCATTGCCCCCCAAACTCTCTCAGGGAAATTGCCTTGCCACACTAAGTCCACACCCCCTTCCCCTTTTCCCCCACCCTTCTTCCCCCTTTAGACACCCACTACCCCTTACCATCCCCCCCTTCCTCCCTTTTGCCACCCCCTCTTTTTGACAGTCCAACTACTGTTTGCCCCTACACACTGTACTGCACGTATACAGTGGGTTAGGTTCCAGACACCACGTAAGATGAAATCGTCTTAAAGTGAATTTCAGCTTGCTTGCTTTTTTTTTTTTTTTTTTTCTTGCCAGGCTATAAAAGCCCAAGACCACGTTAACACTCATTTAAGTGCACAACAGCATTACACCCAAAAAAAAGAGCACTAACTGTAAACAGACTGTATAAAACAAAAAGGGGTCAGTCAGCGATGTGGCATACTGCGAAAATAATCAAATAAGTTTTTTCTCTATAAGGGTTTCAAAGTGGGGTTTACGAATTTGGGAAAATTTTGGGTTTATTATAAAATACTAATTTGTGGGGGCCCCTAGGGGCCCCCCAGCATGGCAGGGGTTTTTGGGGAGATTAGATTAATTCTTAACATTAAAAACCTTTCAATTTGGTATTTTGGCTGGTGACTACTATAATTTGTGAGTTTTTGCAATGTGAATGCTTTTTTTTTGGCCAATCAAAGTGTTTTATTGGAGTAAAAAAGGAAAATTATGCTAGTAGGATCATTTTTTTTAAAATTGATTAGTGTTTTTTGTGTTTATAGTCAGGGGGTTTAGTAGGGGAATTTTGAACCACCAGGTGGTTTTCATGTAGTTATTGTCGGGGTGATCAGGGAGATGATGTTTTTTAACTGTAGTTTTGAAGTGATGGTGTGTCTGCAGTTCTAGATTTTCAGGTAGGGTGTTCCAGATTTTAGGTCCTTTTAAATACTTGAATTTTTTTTAAAAGGGTCGGACATGGGGAATGTAAAGAGATGTTTGTGTCTGGGGTTTTGCCTGTGGATCCGTCACAACTGTCGATTTTTTAAACAGGCTTTTAAAAAAAGATTCCGAGTTTGAAAACTTACTCCACACAATTTTAGGTTCTTAGTGTCAAAAATTTGGGCCCTGCTGTAAAATACAAACTACATACTTTACCTCAGTGCAATGAACATTTCTTTTTTTGAGGTACTGTAATGACAACTTGGAGAGGGGGGCAGATGTGAAGTCTCGTTTTGTGCCTGTTAAATTTCTAATCAGTGAAACAGAATGAAAATTAAGCCATTTGTTTGATTAGTTAAGTTCAGAATAAGGTTGAAAAATTATAAAATCAAAACCTCAGTGCTAAACCCCTAAGGGTCATAACACTGTAAAGGGTTGAATTTTTAAAAAAACATATATAGCTTTCATTTTGAATTAAAACAAGTATTAACAATCTAGACAGTTGACAAAGCTGTTCGAAAATTTAAACCACATTTTAAAAGGTAACAAAATCTGCCGTATTTTAAATCAGGGAAAAGGGAAGATGCTCTCAGAAAATGACAAATTTTTTTTTGGGTTATTAACTTTAAGGGTTTTTAATCGGATCCCAAAAAAATTATTATTGGCTCTTTTTTCATTAAGGTAATCTTTGTTTCCCAAAATAGGGTATGACGGCACAGTCAAAGGCCCCCCCTATCTATTTACTGTGGTAAAAGGGACGCAGGTGTTAGGAAACCAAAGTAATTCCCATTGTAGTGGGGGCTTCCATGCTCTCAGGTGAGAGCAGAGCACTAACCACTGGGCTACCATCCTACTCCAAACAAGATTATACAGATTCATTCCTTAATTTCATTACTGTTATAGACTAATAACTATACATGCATAATTGTTTTTAATCCTGTTCAGATTTTTTACATCAGCTCCACACCCATGTGGGTTTAATGCTTAGTTTCAATTGTAATATCAGCTCCCCTTGGATTTTAAAAATTCCTCCATATTTATCCATTTATTATCCTTATTTTAACTCATTATTTAGCATTCTATGGTCCTTAAATTTAAATTAATTGCAGATGGTGGAAGCAGAGGTGGAATGGATGATCTCATCAATCAAATTAAGCAAGGAGGAGTGAAGCTGAAGTCAACCCAAACCTTTGCAAAGGGGCTTCAGTAAAAGAAGTCCTGAGATAAAAGGCAAACCGCAGATGCCGTACAAGAAATGAAGACATTCTAGGGCTATAAGGGGAGGATCAGGCAGGGTAAAACCATGGGAAATTCAGAGCAAAGTTCGCATTTTTTCAAAGAAAAGAAGAAAAAAGAATCACCCCAGAAAAAAAAAAGGGAAAAAAAAAAGAAAGTCCGATGATGAAAACATTTCAGTGCAAAAGGGTGAGAGTTTTCAGTTTTCCAAAAAAAAGAAAAAAACTCCGAAGCAAAATTTATCATCCCAGAATATCTAAACTTTAAAAGGCGAGAAAATGACTTTGCTGAAATTACCAAAATGGCAGAATATACTTCAACAGAAAAAGAAACCAGTGGAACAGAAGACATCACTAAAGCTGAAGAAATACATACACATAAAGATGACACTACAACAACTGCCAGTGCATCTTATACTCTAAAGCTAAATAGTCTCTACTTTGGTGCAGACGAATGTTCAAGCCGCGAAAGTACTCCACCAGCTGCAGGAAGTACTGAGAAACTTGAGCAAGAAAATAGGCGTCCTTCTCCAGCTCGAGCAATTTCTTCAACCACCATATTTTTGAGGAGCAGTAGAAGTCCCTCCCAAGAATAATAAACTATAATCCTCAGCACAGTATTAAATTTTAGAACTTGGCTGCAAAAGCAGCTTAGAGATCATGAAAACTACAAATTATGAAACTTATGATTTCATTACTGTCAACAAGAAATTTTAAATTATCATGATGCTTCTCATTTTTTCCAAAAAAGTTACTTCCATTTTTAAAGTGCTTCATAAATGGCTTTGGTCAAACCATTATTAATGATAGATTTTTTTACTTGTGATAATTTTTAAAAGTAAATACAGTATTTATTAAATTTTTTTTTACATACCCCAAAAATTCAGTATGTAAGCACAATTTTTTTTAGTATTTTCATAATACACTACAGTTACTTTGCTTATTTGATGTGTACAGTAGAGCATGTGCATTATTTATGTCTTTTTTCCCCTGATGAAGAAAGAGTGGAAGCTAGGCCTATGAAGCAACTTTGTTAGCAATGAGTTATGATCCCCTCCCCTTCCTGTTTACCCCTCAGTCCCACACACGGTTTGCATTCCCAAAAAAACACTTGCAAAGCAAATTTTCCTAATTTTTCTTTTTTTTATTTTGTAAATTAGAGTACAATATGATGCAAGATACATTCCATTAAAAAATTCTTTGTAGATGAATGGTTCAGAGAACCGACATGTTGATAAATTAGACACATGTGCAACTCTTGGGTATCTTTATTGAGGAAACGTTTCGCCACACAGTGGCTTCATCAGTCCATACAAAGGAGAATCTTGAAGAACAGGAGGAGAATGAGGTAATCAGTCCCTCAACCTTGAGTCGATGTGGTCAGTCCATCAATCTTGAATAGAATACGGCATACGTGCTGAGAAGGAGCTTATAAACCGTTGGCAGGAGAGGTGAAGCAGTCATAGGTCGTGTAACATTTGTTCAATGTTGAAGTAGGTCGTGCCCAAGAATTAGGCAAGCGAAGAATTCCCAAGTATTAAGCAACTTCTTGGGATCTTAATACTTGGGAATTCTCGCTTGCCTAATTCTTGGCACGACCTACTTCAACATGAACAAATGTTACACGACCTATGACTGCTTCACCTCTCCTGCCAACGGTTTATAAGCTCCTTCTCAGCACGTATGCGTATTCTATTCAAGATTGATGGACTGACCACATCGACTCAAGGTTGAGGGACTGATTACCTCATTCTCCTCCTGTTCTTCAAGATTCTCCTTTGTATGGACTGATGAAGCCACTGTGTGGCGAAACGTTTCCTCAATAAAGATACCCAAGAGTTGCACATGTGTCTAATTTATCAAAAAATTCTTTGATGAATTTTTTTTTAACACACCAGCTGTCTTCCACCAAGGTAGGCTGACTCGAAAAGAAACCCTTTAAATCACTGTCTAGCCGGCATTACAATATTCCCATCCCTCCTTCAGAGTGTAGGCACTGTATTTCTCACTTCCAGTTAACAGATTTCCCTAATCCCTTAATGTTACCTTACTCACATTTCAACAGCATACTGTCATAAAAACAGTTTTTGGTATTTAGTACCTCTGAATCAGCCTGGTCAGTTTTTGACCATTGGTAAAAATTAATTTGATATTAAGCACATTTTGGTATTATGGCTACTACTAAAGCTTTCATTGGTGACTTGCATAAGTTTCACCTTTTATCCTGGATCTCGGAGTCTACCCACCTGTTCTGTGTTCCTCTACTTTCCTAAACAATCTTCTGTGTGGAACTCTTATCAAAAGTTGAAGGTGTGTGGTAGTAGATGTATGTAGTACAAAGAGACATAACTGTCACTATGTTTATTAGAAGGATCATTCTATTATTGACTCACTACCTGACTTGGACTTGCATTTTCTAATCATCACTTGGTTATAGCTGCCTTTTTCAATCTTCAGAAGATGAAGATACTGACTAGCATTACCACATCTTAACCCAGGCCCTTTCTTGTAGCCAATAAGGCTACAGAACTTTTTTTTCTGGTGTTCTAGCACAAGTCATTGACAACTATTCCTCTCATCGCAGCGCTGTATAGCCCTTGTGGCTTAGCGTTTCTTTTTTATTATAATAATAATAATATTCCTCTTATCATCTTTCCTGAAAACGAAGGGGTGCTTTAAGGTTGTAGCTTTTGCACTACTTTTGTCGTCTGTGGCTTAATTGCAACTTAATTGTTGACTTTGCTATTATGCTGGTACAGATGTTTGGCTCATGAAGACAATTACAGCGAGCCACTGAGTGCTTCCAGATGGGCATTTGCACACTGCATCAGGTTATGTCCAAGATGCCCAGTTATTCTGCACTGCTTAGTATTCCTTTATAGATCCTTTATTCCCATCTTAAATCTGTAGGCCACCTTTTGTCATGAAAACTTCAGATAGCCTCTTTCAACACTGTCATGGCATATTAAATCTACTCTTTTTATTTTTCTAAATGCCAAAGTTCTCAGCAAAATAAAAAAAAAAAAATTGGACTTAAAATGCCAAGAGACACTCCTCTGCTTTCATTTGACCTTAATCTTATCTAGGCTGCATAATGGAGATCAGTTATACTACTATGCCTCCTTAATTTCTCTCTCAAGGCTGGATGCCTATCAATCATCTGGATTATGTATGTTTGGTAATGCTTTTGGTGCTCCTTGCCATGAAATGCTTAATGTTCTTTACAGGATTGCTATAATACCTACTGCCTTCATCACAATGTTTACTTATTCTGTAACTTGCCTGTTTCTCAGATGTTGGTAATCCAATAATTATCATCTAGTTCTTCCTTACCATAGTCCTTTTATGTTTATCTCCACATTTAAACTTGCAAATTCCCTTTCTGTATCATTTTTTTTTTTTTATCACCACAGCAGCACTGTATTAACCTTAAGGGTAAGGCACTTCGAGTAGCATTCCCGCCTTCCACCCTTTGGATTACATTCTTTCCTGATAATTTCTAAGTGCTCTGCTATATTTTGTGTATTGTGATGACTCACATTTGCAGTTACTGAACACTGCTTACCAAGAGTCTGCCAGTATTTTACTATAAAGTTGCCTCACTTGCTGCAACCTTCATGTTGCTAAAATATCTTCATTATTTCTATTTCTTAAGGTGATTTCCAGGCCATCCAGTCTTTAAATTCTTCTCATTTCTTTATATTGTAAAGTGTGTTGTCTTGTCTGTTGTAGTAAATAAGTTATTCTGCTTAGGACTTCCATCATTCTGGTATTTTGGGTAATGAACTTGCATACTCAGTAGTTTAGATACAAACTCCCACAAGCCCTTACCCCTTTCAGATTTTTATCTGTTGTTTGCCCAGCACATATTAGATTGTTGCCAATGTCACTGTATCCTGATGACAGCCAAACAACTGTTCTTTATAAAACTACACCTGGGTTTCTGTCCATTCTCACTTTGTCACTAGGAGCTGTGAGAGACAATTGTCTCTCAGTGACTGACAGTGCCAGGTCCACTCATGATCATCTCGGGTATGGTTACTGTACTCTGCAAAGTTTGCTAGGTTATCACAAAACATCTTTATACAACAGATAAATGTTCATAAGAGTATTTCATCCATTTTTTGTCTCTTATTTTCATGCTTTGTTGTATTTATTCTGTCAGACCTCTTCTCTGAATGTGCCATCTTTATACTGGTGTGTCTACGGTTTTTTATTAAAGATTTCTTTGTTACATCATCCTTATTGACATCTTGTCCTATCTTAAGACAAGGTTTTTTTCGTATTTTTAACCTGGAAGGCTAGCCACCCAGGATCACCCAATAAAGTCAATGCATCACTGGGGACTATCTGTCTTATTTTCTTTGGACTCCTTTAATTCATCTTCTCCTCTGTGGTGCATCTCACAACAATCTACTAACACCCAAGCACCTTCTTACTGTTAGGCAAATGTGGGCAGCAGGTGTAAGGAAACATGCCCAACATTTCAGTTATACCAGGGATTGATCCCAGTCCCTCAGTGTGAGAGGTGAGGATGCCAATCTCCTCATGTCTTACAACTGTTGTTTTTCTTAAGATGCACTTTTCTGTTATGTAGTGCTGAATGACCCTCACGGGTTTAGCACCTCTGAATATACTGCTTTATAATTATATTAGGTATAGGCTGCTGAGACTCAAAACCTGGCGAGTGACATTAACACTTATTAAAACGAATTAAGCATTTATTTTGATTTGGTTTCCTAATACCTGTATATCAGATTAATTAAGGGAAACTCTCATTTGGCAACTGCTTGCCTGTAGGTGATATTTTGAAGCATCGAGAAATCATTGATCACATCCAGTATTTGGTGCATACAATCAAAAGGGTGCCACAACCGCCTTTTTTTTTTAAGTACCGGGTATCTCCCACCGAAAGTTTTTCTTTTTACATTTAGTAACTTATACAGAAGGGGTTACTAGCCCATTGCTCTCAGCATTTCAGTCGCCTCTTACGATACGCATGGCTTAAGGAGGAAGGATTCTTTTCCACTTCCCCATGAACAACCACAAATACAATGAGTTAATTAACCCACATACATTGCTACCCTTCAAGTAAAGCGCCAGTGAAGGGCTCTTGGTACAGGGAATGTGAGCTACCCTCCACTTGGATTAAACCTGATTGTCTCCTATCCCTAATTCCCCATGCACTGTATGATCCCCCTATGGGTTTAGCAATTCACATAAATTTAATAATAAATACCCCATTAATCTAAACATTCCAAGCCTGATAGTGTAAGGGAGTTCATGCACTAGAGTAACACAAGCATGCTAGATGGATCAATATACCATCAAACCCCCAAAAAATTCTAAATAAAAATGTCAATGGTTTTTAACCTTATTAGATGTAATGAATAACAGAGAAAGTACCAAAATCTTACCACTGGAAGGGGGCTAAACGTGGTTAAGTTCCAAGGTGATGGCTGTAACTTCATTATCGAATGTAGAATAGTAATTTTTGTTTCTAACCTATGGTTTGAAGGGTCATGGAATTCAATGTTAAAGAAAAAAAAAAAGTTAACTCTTTCAGTGTCTCGGTTTAGTCTTCAGAAACATTCTCTAGTTTCTCTGAAAGCTGGCTGTGTGCATTTTCAAAGGATGTAAGTTAGCATGATCCATACCCAGAAGTACATAGAAGCCCATATCATATCTTTTGTAATAAGTTTTGCAACTGCAATGTACCATTTT